GCCGCTGGCGCCGCCGCCGATGCTGGATAAGCCGGAGCTGGGTGGCGTGTACCAGGGCAAAGTGTCGGGCATCATGGAGTTTGGGTGCTTCGTGGAGGTGGAGGGGTTCAGGCAGAAGGTGGGCGGCCCCAGGGGAAAGGGGGGGCGGCGTGGGGTGGTCCGATCGCACATCCGTGAGCCGCCAGAGGAGGGGTGGCGGTCGGGACCGCAGTTGGATTGCATTGCTGCGGCATCATCATGTTGTGGGCTGTGCGGCATGCGTTGCAGTCGGCGGCTCATGCCGGGCGCGGGCATCTGTCTGCATTCAAGGGGGGCAGCGCTGCCGGCGCCAGTGGCAGTCAGGCCGTGCCGCCCTGTGCATGCATCCCGCCAACCCACCTCCTCGCCAACGTGGCCGCCGAGCTTCCAGTTTTGAACCACTTTTGAACCCCAAACCCCAACCCCAGGTGGAGGGACTGGTGCACGTCTCAAACATCACAACGGCGCGCGCCAGCAGCGCAAAGGGGCTCGTGGAGCGCGGCCAGCAGGCGCGTCTGTTAATGGCCGGCCGCGGGAGCCGGGACCCAGGGGGCGGGCAGGGGGGGGCACGGCAGGTGTAGCGCGTTGCGCAGCAGTGACGCCTGCGCCGTGGCAGGCGCCGACTTGCGTGCGCCCAGCCGGCCGCCGGCTTTGCTGCAACAGCCCAGTCCTTCGCCCCCTGCTGTGCCACGTCAGCGTGGCTGAGCCGCGGGCACGACGCTCTCCTCCACCGCCCTCATCCTCATCATCGTCATCATCACCTTCACAATCATTATCACCATCGCCATCATCATCGCAGGTGTGGGTCAAGGTGGTGTCCGTGTCGGGCCAGCGCGTGGGGCTGTCGATGCGCGACGTCGACCAGAAGACCGGGAAGGACCTGCTGGCCATTGACCCGGTCAAAGCAGCGGCAGCCGGCGGCCGGCCGGTCAGCGGGCTGCAGGGGATCAGCGGGATCAAGGTCAACCCCGATGACTTTGTTGAGACCGTCAAGAGGTGGGGTGCGGGGTTTCGATGAGCTGATCTGGGGGTTTGGGGTGGGGATTGATGGGTGACGGCAGCGGGCGCTTGACATGAGTCGCGGCCATCGGGGGTAAGTTGGGGTTGTGAATGGGGTGGAGTTGTAAGGTGGCAGGTTCTTGGTGTGTGTCCATGGGTTGTCAATAGGAAGTGCGCTTAAAATCGTGTGTGTTTGTATATGTGTGCGAGTGTGCCTGTGTGAGTGTTTGTGGACGTGTTTTTTGTTGTGTTTGTGTGTGTGTGTGTGTGTGGGTGTGTGTGTGGGGGGGGGGGCTTGAGACTTCATATGCAGGCCAGGGGCTGTTTGCAGGGCTGCCGGGGTTTGGCGTGGAACGACCATTCGGCCATCAAGCGCATGTGCGAACCCGTCAGCTGGCGGGCTTGCAGCGCGTGCACGCAGCGCTGGATGCGTTAAAAGGCAAGGGCCGGTCGCACCGGCTAGTGTGGCTTGGTGCTGCGAGGCGAGTGCGCCCAACGGGGGGTGCGCCGGTCACAACAGCGACTGCGAACGACCAGCGGCCCCCCCTGTTCCCCATTCACACATGCAAACACGAGCACACACACACACACACACACACACACGCACCCACGCACACACACACACACACACACACACATACACGCACGCACGCGCACACACACACACACACACACACACACACACACACACACAC